AGTGTTGAGACAAAGTAACTTGGCTACAACAACCATTTATAATCAAACTGCATAACAAAGTTGACAAATGCCCCTGCACTGCCAAACTAGGGACACGACTCAGAACAGCTAGTTAAAGTAAGGTGGGTAGACTGAATGCTCCTACAAACACCAATGACCTCTATAAACAACTGTAGAGACATAGCAAATATCGCAGACATAATGGTAGCAGCTAATGTGCAGGTTATAAAACTTAAAAGTAGCCACAACAAACAATTCAACCTGATTTAACACATGGCAAAAGCATCATGGTTGCCAGAAGCTATTGGACAGTTGGCGTGGAAAAATTGCACCAAACCAGCATAGATTTATACTTAGAAGCTAGCCTGCTAAAGGTTTCTTATACACATCAATTTCTCCCGGGGTCGTGCTGCTGAAATAAACATAAAATGGCACTAGAAAACACATAAAAAAGCATTCTTACGCCGCCAATCACAGACGGAACGCTAGCATTTGGCTGATTAGGCACGAGAACAGTCAATTAACCATAAGCAATTTGACGCACTGTAGCAAAATTAGCAGTGGGCAGGTAGGCAGGCAGGCAGCTGTCAATTGAGGTAGTGTTGTCGTGCAGCATACCTGATGGAGAAGTGGCAGATGGTGAGCTTGGTGAGGCACTTGAGGCTGGCGATCTCGACGAGTATGGAGCAGGCGGAGGGCCTGGGCGGCACCATGGAGAGCTCGAGCTCCCTGAGCGCCCGCATCCGCCGGAGCACGGCCCCGGACACCCTGGGCGCGGAGACCTTGAGCTGGAGGCTCTGTAGCCCGTCCAGGTCCCCGGCCTCCGGGGGCAGCACCTCGACGTCGTTGCCGAAGAACTTGAGCGCCCTGAGCCCCCCGCGGCACTCGCCGATGGAGCGCGGGACCAGGTTGTAGGCGTTGCGGTAGATGTAGAGCTCGCCGCCGCGGAGCGCGGCGGGCGGAGGCGAGAAGGGGGCGAGGTCCCACGTGTTGCCGGCGACGTCGGCGGCGTCGGATCCGCGCGGCGGGAGGCCGCCGCCGGCGTCGGGGTCCGGCGCGGCGGCGTCCATGCGGGCGCCACCGTCCGCCGCGGGGTTTTGGGGCGGCGCGGCCTAGGGTTTCGTACGGGGGGCGGGGAGAGAGTGTGAACGGGGAAGAGGGGAAAGAGAGAGAGAGCGGGCGGGTGGGAATTGTATAAGTTAAGCCATCCTAATACTGAGATTTGGACCGGGTTCTGATTAGCTTCTGTCTCGAGGGGTAAAATGGAAGGCGGCCACGCGGTCACCCCGCGCTCTCCGAGAAGACGAAGCTGGTGCGGCTCGGACGGGGTCGCCGTCAGGCTCGGGTGCGGTCGCGGTCGCGGTCGCGGTCCGGGTCGGACCCGAGCCTGTGTGTTCAAGGGCTCAAGGCCCACTTTGAAAGAGGCCCACTCTCCTTCCAAGGTTTTGGGTGATCCACATCGCTGCTCTAGTCCCCGGCTCTCGCCGCCGGCAGGAGCGACTCCTTCTGCCGCTTTCCTCGGCCCGTGCTTCGGAGATGCCGGCGACGGAGGAGGAAGGCGCGGCGGCGGCGGCGGCGGCGGGGGCGTACGAGCAGGAGGACGGGGACGGGGAGGAGTACGACGAGGATGAGGAGGAGGGGTACGAGTTCGGCGACGCGGCGGACGCGGCGCAGTGCGTGGAGATGGCGGAGCGGGGGCCCGGCGGCGCCGTGGCCACCGTCAGCATCCGCGACTTCGAGGCCCTGGCGGCGCTGTCGCGCAAGCGGAAGGCCCTCCCCGAGGAGCCGCCGCAGGGGGACGAGCCCTCCAAGAAGCGGAGGCAGCAGGGCGAGCTCTCCGAGGCGGAGTCGGCGAACCTCTTCGACCAGCTGATGGAGGGGTTCGGCCTCCGGCGGAAGAAGCGGCGGCGGTCCAAGGACGGCAAGAGGAAGGGGCGGGCGAGAGGGCGGAGGAACCGGTGCAGCCCCGAGGTCATCAAGAAGCTGGGCGACGCCACCCTGCTCTTCACCGAGAACAGGTTCAAGGAGGCCATCCCCATCCTGCACGAGATCGTGCGGATCGCGCCCAACCTGCCCAACTCGTACAACCTGCTCGGCAGCATCTACAAGGAGAATGGCGAGATCGACAAGGCTATCAACTTCGTGATGCTGGCCGCCTACGTCTCGCCCAAGGACGTGTCGCTGTGGAAGAAGCTCATCGACCTGGCCCTGAAGAAGGAGGATGCTGCTCTGGCAAGGCACTGTGTTATCAAGGCAATGAGGGCTGATCCGGAGGATGTGGGGCTCAAGTTTGATTGCGCCAACATATATCGCACCCTTGGTGACTGCCACAAGGCCGCGGAGATATACGAGCAGATAGTCGGGATCCATCCCTCCAACACCGTCGCTCGTAAAGCGGCGGCGCAGATGTACAGAGACTCTGGTCAAATTGATAAGGCGATTGATTTGTTGGAGGATTTTATCAATGCTCAAACTTCAAACATCGATTGGGGTCTTCTTGATTTACTGATATCCCTTCATCTGAGAAATGATGCCCATGGTGAAGCCCTTAGGCAGATCAAGAAGGCACAACTGGTGTTGGGATCTGGACACAAATTACCAGTACGATTGCAGGCGAAGGCAGTAATCTGCCATGCTTATCTTGGAGATATGAAACATGCTGAGGTGTTCCTTCAGGATGTGCATCTGGGGCGTTCAAAAGAGAATGCTGATATGGTTAAGGAGGTCGCCAGCACTCTTCAAAGTTTGGGGCAGTATGAGTATGCACTAAAATTTTACTCGGTTATGGAAGACGTTGCTGTTCACAATGATGTTAGTTCATATGTGGAAGCTGCTCGATGCTACATGGTAATGGGGGACAAAGGAAAAGCTATCCCTTACCTCTATCAAGCTTTAGAAGGGATGGAGGACAATGTCGATGTACGGATAACCTTATCTTCTCTTCTCGTTGACGAGGATAAGAGTGATAAAGCTATCACTGTGCTTTCTCCTCCTGAAAATCCAGAGTTGCAGTCCGCTGATATCCCGGATCATCAGAAACCTTGGTGGCTTCATGGGGAAGTAAAGATGCAGCTTGCCAAACTTTATTACAACAAAGGCATGATGGAGAAATTTGTGAAAACCATTTTTCTTCCCATTCTTGAGACACTGGATATCGAGTATGCTAATAGAAAGGTCAAGATGAATAGAAAGCTTACAAATGATGTTCTGCAGGAAAGAACGAAAGTGCTGGGGGAAGCGCGTCAAGACAGCGTATTTCAAGGATGCAGGCCTATAGCATCAACTGCAGAGTTAGTGAAGGCAAACAGAGCAAAGAAATTGCTAGAGAGAAGGGCAGCAGAGTCAAATGAAGATACGATAAGAGATGATACACGGAGAGCAAAGCAGAAACCTCCTCTTCCTGGTCTGCTGACAAATGTGGAGAACCATCAGCTTGTGTTAGATCTCTGTCGAACACTGACTTTGCTTCAGCGATACTTTGAGGCGCTGCAAATTATCAATCATGCTCTTAAACTTGGAAATGACCCCCTCTCTGATGACATCAAGGAGGAACTCCGGTCCTTGGGCGCTGAAATTGCATACAGAGCTCCAGATCCCAGTCCTGGTTTTGATTATGTCCGTTATGTAGTTCACAAGCACCCGCAATCCATCTCCGCATGGAACTCCTACTACAAAGTGACATCAAGAGCAGAAGAGAAAGGTCATTTTAAGTTTCTTCTTCGGGCAAGAAGGGATCCCAAGTGTGTGCCCCCTAAAATCATATCTGGGCATCGATTTACTGCTATCAGTCAACACCAGTCCGCTGTTCGGGATTATCTGGAAGCGTACAAGCTGGACTCGGAGAATCCTCTAATCAATCTCTGCGTTGGTTCGTCCTTGATCAACCTCTCCCTGGGCTTCAGGCTTCAGAACAAGAACCAGTGCATCGTCCAGGCGTTTGCGTTCCTCTACAAGTGCCTGCGCATCGGCAGCAACAGGCAGGAGGCCCTGTACAACATAGCCCGGGCTTACCACCATGTCGGGCTCAAAACCCTGGCGGCCATCTACTACGAGAAGGTTTTAGCCATGGAGGTGGAAGATCACCCCATACCCAAGCTTCCATTCGAGGAGGATTTCCATGAGCACCAGGCTCTTAGGCCTGGCTACTGCGACCTCCGGAGAGAGGCTGCGTTCAATCTGCATCTGATCTACAAGGAAAGCGGAGCAACTGATCTGGCAAGAAGGATCCTCAAGACCTACTGTTCTATTTAGGAATTGGTCGTTTATTTATACTATATACAAGTACTTGGTCTAGTCTATGTGGATGCTGCTACGCAACATTTCCATGTAATCGTGAAGGCAATCGATTTTTCATTGTGGAGTCCAAAAGAGATTCTAGACTTTGAAATGGTCCTCCTCTCAGGTTTTGTCACAGTGGTTTCAGAATGATAATATGTCTGTTCCTTCCAATTTGATCATGAAACAAAGTGGATGGAAATCATTTACACCCTGATTGGATCATCGTTTCAGAGCGATAAAATATACAGACCTCTATCCGTCGTTCTTTTTCCAGACGGAAATCACGTTGTGGCCTGTGAAATACACCTGTAAAGTAAATACGGATGTAAAATGTTACACCCATACCAAGCGGAGCCTTACTGTACAACATAAAGTACATGAAAAACTGCCTAAATCAAAGTACATGAAAAACTGCCTAAAACAAAAACACTAGCTGCAAGCTAGTAACACGATACAAAAGACAAACAAACTAAGCCTTCACTGAACTTTATTTATTGAGACATATATAGGGGGGCTGATAAACCTCTACCACCAGGTGGTGGCATCAGAGTTTCTTCGAGTATCGGTAAACTTACAGCAGTATCATTACCCATCAGACAGTACATTTATTGAAACAGCATTGTCTAGAGCGTTGTAAACTGCTCAAAAATAAAATGCAGATGCAGTGCGGTGTCTCAGCGATTCAGTGTCAAGATTGGCAGTTTACAACAAGGGTCATCGAGCTAGAAGTGGTTAGACCAATCAGCAGCACTACCGACGCGAGGGATCCCCGAGTCCTTCTTGGCCTCGCTGTCGACCTTGAAGGTGGAGCCGCACATCTGGCCCTGGCTGTCCACACGTGGCACGGCCTTCAGCTCGTTCAGCGGGTGCTCGAAGCTCTGCAGCCCTCCAGATGTGGTGTAGAAGCAGCCTGATGATCAACGAAAATGTAGTGTCAAGATGATGAGTGCCGCAGCTGAATTATAGGGATACAAACAAAGATGAGAAGGGTGAACTGTGGCAACGCTGCTCTTTGTAGTGTACCTTTGGGGAATGGCGCAAATGAGTTTCCACAGCCTGCCTTGAGAAGCTCATTATCGTCAGAGAACACAAGGTGGTCTTCAGAGTCAACTCCCCAGAAGAAGGGGATACTGCCATCAGCATCCTGTTCAAGAAAAGCGGTTGTAACTCAAAACCATATTCAACTACGGGTTAAAAATTTACATCCTTTCAGAAGAGAGATGATCTACTCACAGCAGCGACGAAGGTGGATTTCGACACGGTATCGTAGAGGATGAAAGCGAACCTTCCACTGAGATCTCTCACGACCTGGCTAGCTGGGAGTGGGCCCCTGTCCCGGAGGGTTCTGTAGGCCTCAATCAGGATGGTAACCTCATTTGCTGTCTTGCTCAGACCATAGTGTTGCTTCAGGTTGCCAATGTTCTCAACATGTCCTTGGAACAGGCAAAATATGTCATTTACAGAACCGAACATCCTGGATACAAGTGCAAAGACAAAAATACAGAGTCAGGTCAATATACTCAGATAGAACAACAATTCTCAGGATCACTAATAAGGTAGAAAAGAAATTCCATGTTACTGCTATTTGTTGGAATCACTATACATGCCTAAAAAGACACCATCATGTGAATTTTTTTCTACAAAGGCAACAAAACGATGTTACTGGAGTCACATCAATGTTTCATTATGTTATTCAAAACTTGGCAGCCCAATACTGCTAGTAGGTTTGACAAGTATGTTGTCAGCAAGCATGATAGTTAAGTAAAAGTTGCTTCCCTGTCGAAAGAAAAATTGATCTTCACTTATGAGTTAGTTTAATGAGGCTCAGCTCGTTAGTTTAATGAGGCTCAGCTCCCAAGTGGTATGCGCGTTCGTTGCACATGACATGTTGCTAGTACCGTATAAAAAAGAGCAATAGTCACCACCATCACCGGTGGGCCGGCTGACAAATAACAGTTGATTAACAAGTATCAATTGACACGTAATCCAACTGTGGACAATGGTAAGATGGACATGTGCAGTATCAGAAACTTCAATGTTACTTCCCATTTTCATGACGAATCGCCAGACAGGGATGCAAAACATAGTGTAGGAAAAATAATGGCATATTATATCTACATAAAGGGTTCAGGCAAGACTCCAGTTCCTCACATCACAAGAATTGTTGAATCTCTTCACGCTGGAGCAAAATCATCGGTGTTGAATAACACGGTTGGACCCAGAAGAACAGCAGGAATCAAGCCAGCTCCAATGGGAAGCTGGATCTTTGACTGTTTAAGCGCATAACATTCAGAAGTACTTGCAACCTTGGGCTAGAGCTAAGCGTTCGCTAGATTGTTTCTCTGGGTGCCACTAAGCACAGCTCAGAATAGGTTCTCCAATCTACAAGCCTACTCAAATGATCAAATAAATAACTGCTCAGCAGCCGGAGGAAACTAACTCAGTTAAGCCGTTCCTAATTTGGACAGGATCTGAACATATATACGAAACAATGATTAAATCAGAAGTCAATAACGCGTCATAATGGTGCTGTCACATAACTTATGTTGCAGATCTGATGAAGAGTCTGGCCTAGAATTTACGCCACGGAGCCCCCGACTACAGACTAGAAATCGCCGGAAAGCTCCAAAACCAGCACGCCGCTGAAAGCTACATCTCTGGCTGGCCTGGCCCGGAGAAACCAAACGAGAAAGGGAGATCTCCGCAGGCCCAAACGGGAACCTCCAAAGTCCCAGCGAAGCGATCGCGTCACCGGATCAAGCGCCACCCGACAGCACTACAAGCACCGGCTTACTGGTAGTGTTATTGAGCAAGGCTAGCGGATAACGGAGCAGTACCTGGGGACGAGGGGGTTCTTGTTGGCGGAGGAGTAGGCGAGGGCGCCGGCGGAGCCGAGGCTGACGGTGACCGCGGCGTCGTTGGCGGCGGCGAAGCCCTTCATCAGCGCGGCCGCGCCTCCGCCCCCCGCCGCCGCACCGGCCGCCGGCGGGCTGCGGAGGCCCTCCGGGCACTTGGCCACCGTCTGGTCGAACACGGCCAGCATCTCGGCGACGTGCGAATCTCTCCCCCCTCTCTTTCCGTGCGCTGAGGCTGTGCTGTCCCCGTCTCCTTTGTCTGCGTGCCGCGGTGCGATCTCACGGCGACGCTGAATGGCCACCGCAAGTCAACTGATATAGGGCGCTCGGTTTCCCGTTTTGCCCCTTGGTCGGTCGGTTGGTGGGAAATTCGCGGAGCTTTTTTGGTGGCCGCCAATGGTTTTCATGTCTCGGCATTCGTTTTCCTACGTGGAGTGTAAATAATAAAGCATATAAAATCCAGGAAAAATCGCAAAGAATGCAAAAAGGTTGGCCGTTTATTATCTTAGATATCTGGTTGTATCCGAGGGTAGTTTGGTAACTTGGGTAAATAATAACCGTCCTGGTCCCTGTGGGGTATTATCCATTTTTTTCTGGTTGATTGATTGAAACCTTATCCAGTCATTATCGACGTGGAAAGCCTGGAGGGTCTGCCGGGTATCCCGCGGATCGGATTAGATTAAGCGCGTCCAGCTATGAGCTAATCTATACATCTCTGGTGCCGTGAGTAGAGGAAGAGGAGAGCCATCGTTTTCAAAGGTAGCACGGGTCGACGTCCACGTTTCCAGACGCGTCGTCGTGGAAAACATCATCTCCGATCGTGCTTTCTCCCCCAGATTTTTGGTGCGCAAGCGAATCAACCTATGGTTGAGTTGATTAGGTGGACAGTGATATCCCCAACCCATCAGGGTTTAAATCCTGGTGCTCGCATTATTTTTGGATTTATTTCAGGATTTTTGGCGATACGCTTTCAGTGGGAGGAGACGTTCTCGTCGACGACGAGGCGCCTACGATGACTTCGTAAATCTCAAGATGATATGCCGGCTCAGTCTTTCGGAGGTGCTCATAGGGGTAGGGTGTGCGTGTGTGCGTTCATAGGGATGAGTGTATGCGCGTGTATATGAGCGTTTGTGTCTGTACCGATGCTCAAAAAAAAAATCTTCGGTGCGCAAGACCCAGTTTTTTTTCTTTTTACGTCTCCAACACGGATCATCAAAATGTCCGTAAATATTTGGATCAAGTCGGCCAACGTTGTTAATCATTCGATGCGGGATTGGGCAGAACTAGTCCGCAAGTTCGACATTCTATGGACTGTCCCAAATCGGAAGAGGAGCTCTGTGGGAGTCTGGGCGTCAGCCACGTTGGACTCCAACACCTCGGACCTACCTAAAATCTGACTCGGAGGCTGGAGACCATCTATTTTCACAGTCCTGCCATTCTTTTCACGTCAAAGCTTGTCTGTTGCGCCTCGATCTCCTCTGTCCCCGTCTGTTTCACCGTCCACCACTGCTGCGATGGATCCGTCAGTGCCCTTCGCGATCTTTGTCGTCCTACCAAACCCACAGAATGGCAAGCTTGAGTGAGAGGGCCGCCGAGCTCCTCCTCCACAGTGGATCGCCGTACCGGTGCCACCCAGCCAATCACAACCCTGGCCCGCCCAGTACAAGTCACCGTACTACTATGCCGGCCATCTAAATGGTCAACCCAACACATAGCAACCGACGCAGCGCTCCGCCGCCTCCTTCCTCCGCCTCCAGTCATCCTCCACAACACACCGTCGAACTCAACAATGACTACATGGTCACTGAGTCACCAACGCTCATCCGACCACGGTTTTCGTCCGAGAAGCCCTCGTCCAACAATGCCCGGTAAAATAACACAACATGAACATAGTTATTGTCATCATATTTTGTAGATATGTTTGGAAAAAAACTCCTTCACTTTTTGGTTGCATTTGCTTTGTGCGCCAAGGGCACAACTGGTCAGCTGGTAATATAATGATTGGTTGAACTTTTATATGTTGGTTTCTATGCAATCTTTTGTAGCTTATGTACGAGTGCACACGATGCATAGGGCAACACTTAAGGTGCTACAATGTGTTACAAGGAATGTAGGATGGGAGACCGGAGTGAGAAATGACTGTTCCCTAAGTTCATGAATTGTAACATAGGGGAGTAAAAGGGACCCCGGAGGAAGTTGTGGCAATAGTTGGGTTTTTATCTTAAAGGATCTTAGTATTTGCTTACTAGAAAAACAATTATAAGTACATGTGAGGCTCGGCATAGCAGCATGTTAGCTTAGGTTCCTCCCTAGAAAATGGAACACTTACACTTATCAAGGCAAGCACAAGGCCCATCTTAGGGCATCTCCAACAAGGATCCCTAAAAACGAACACTGTAATCCGTCTACGGACGCGTCCGGACGCACCCACAGACAGTATACAGGAGCCAACCATCCAACCGTGACCGCATAAATTTCAAACGTGATTTGAACAAACCCGACGATTTTCATGGCAAACCTCATGATTGTCATTTAAAATGGACCAAATTCATTACATTTTTTTACATATTTTAACTCAACAAAAGCGTATGAGACTTTGTTAACCTAATATAAGTGATCGTCGAGCGTGGCGGCGTCTTTTCTTCCCCATGTCTAGCAAGCTTACTGGTCGTGAGCCCCGAGAAGTGAATTTGCAGGAGGGGGAGAATAAGTGGCTCATGTGGCACCCAAGCCACGGTAGCATCCCATGTCCTAGTTTTCCTTGTTGGAGTCTGTTGTGTCGACAACATCATACGTGGACGGGCCAGCCTCGTGGTCGTGGTGGCAGGGTGCGAACCGTGGTGGAGGTGTGGCTGACACGGAGCTGGCGCCATCCGCGGTCGCCTGCACCTCCTCGCTGGTCTCTATGAACATGACGTATCTCTCCACCCGCAGGATGCGCAGCCACCATCGCTCGCGGCGGATCTCATGGGTGTTGCGCATGGACTGGTACAATGCCCGCTGCTCATCCAAGAAGCCCAGGTCCTCTGCGACCATGGCCACGACGACATCATCATTCGCCTGTTCGCCGGTGATTTTCCCTCCGCGAGCCAATGCTCGTCGAGGAGCTGGAGGTTGTAGCCTTGGTCCTCATGTGCCTACCGGAATGCCAACACAGAGCGACGCTGGCTGGTCTGCCACCATGATTGACGGGGGCATCGTATTATTGTTGGATGCCCCCTCCATCATCTAGTACTCGTCGTTAACCTCCAACGAGTTTGCTGGGAGGCTGGCCTCATATTGCGCATGACAGGCCTACCAGCTGGCCGCAATGCCATCTAGCTTCTGCTTCTGCTCCGCCGAGAGGCTCTCCCACATCCCTCTTGCTGGTTGTGTCGAATGAGGAGGCGACATTCAAATAGCGTGTGCCGACCAGGCCAAGCGGCAGGCAGTGTCAATGTGGCACCGAAGTGGGTTTCTTGTCCGCCACGCCTGTTTAATGCTGGCAGGCGAACGACGAGAGACGGTTTGAATGTGGTGCGGAGCCGTCCAGTCACGTTTGTTCATGCATATCCCAAGAACAAGTGTGGAGACTGGGCAACACTCTCGGTCAGTGCCTCGCTTCAATGTTGCCCCCAGTGAGAGGTCGCGTCTGCTTTGAGCCATCATGAATGTGGCGTTGACGCTCTAGAGCGTCGCACATTGACCGACATGAATGTGTGGCAACCGCTTCACGCATGGGAGTGGGTGGGGGCGGGGAGTTTTTTGGGTGGGTCCGGGGTGGTAGGCGAGTATGTGACAGCGGTCTGGACGCCCGCAAAGCCCCCCTGGTTTGTGTCCGATTTACAGGAAAACGGAGGTCCACACCAGTTCGCGGGCCGATGCGGTGCCGCGTTGGATGGCAAACTATGTACAGACAGCTATGTCCAAACGTACGCATGCATTTTCAGGGTTCGCATCGAAGATGCCCTTGCAATGCAATGCCTTGTAAGCCCACATAGTGAGATAACCCTAAGTGACATTGCGGGCTAATTGACGGTGACATGTACCTAGGGTAGGGTCTTGCGCCTGACCTATATGCCCTACCCAAGGACAATACACGAGAAGCCAAGGCTTACGGAGATAGAAAGAAGATACCGACTGTATTCACCTCAGAGTGCAATCCACTCGACAAAAGATCCACTCGACCATCCAAATTCCACTTGACCGTCGTCATTCACTCAGAATACAAGAATCCACTCGAAGGACGGAAGACCTAGGGTCACCTCTAGATAGCAATGGTCGGTCATTCACTCTGTCACCTTAAAGATCATTAAATGAAGGTGTTACCAACAGCGTTCGTGATATTATACTCTCATTGAACCCTTGTGTTACCGAGGGCCGCGAGGAGTCGGCGTACTCTATATAAGCCACCCCTCCCCTCTTGCACAAGGGTTTGCACCCCCTGTAACTCAACACTCCAATCAACAAAGCCTCCGCGACACCGAGACGTAGGGCTGTTACCCCCTCCGAGAGGGGCCTGAACTCATAAATCAGAGTGTACAACCTCGCCATAGCTAGGCACTGCCCTCTCCTACGTACCCCCCATCTCTACTGTCAGATTCGTTCCCACGACAGTTGGCGCCCACCATGGGGCAGGCGTCTAAGCAACTTCCGGCGAGGTTGCGATCTTCGATCTCCATCGACATGGTTTCCGGCGGTGGATTGCCCTTAGGCCACAAGATCTGTCTCGACGTGTTCACCTTCATCACCGATGATTCGGACTGGCTCCGGGAAGCCCTCCTCGATGTCGAGGCGCTCCCTATTCGCAGGGCGGTGCACTTCCGCGTGAGTGCTTGCGGCGTCCTCTTGCGGGAGCCGTCGACTCAGTATCGGTCAGCTCCCGTGGCATTTTCCCGTCCCGCTGCTCGTCGTCGCAAGCGATCCGGTCGCTCGCGCCTCCAGCGGTGGGTAAAGCACGCGGTGGCACGTCAAACGTCCACTCCTTAGATCGCGGTGATTGAGCCTGACGAGTCCCTTTATGGCCTATTCAATCTGTCAACTGGTCGTTCGGATACGCTTTCCGAGTGTGAAAGCAATGACCTCGCGGCAGAAGTCCTCATGGTTGGCTCCCATCATAGCCCACCAGGATTTTCCCGCGGTGGTGGAAGCGATAACCCGTCGCATGGCGAAGATGAGTACTACCCGCGAGCTCTTACTGTGGAACAAA